TTGTAGAAATAAGGGACACATCTGCTCCAGTATCCAAAAGGCCATTAAAACTAATATACTGAACTTGTATAGACATTTGGGGGCATTAGCCTAAAAGAGTTTGCCACCATGTGGAAGAATCTGTACTTCCAAAACCCTCTTTTCTTTTTTCTGGTAGAGATTTCCCTTTTATACGTGGCAAGATTAATAGCTATACAATTCGCTGTTGAGTTTTAATTTGAAAAGGTTTAGTAGTAGATATCGTAAGTCAGATTTCTCCTTCATAATCACTATCAATAGGGCTGGTGAGATGGCTCAGTGGTCTAAAGCACCTACTTAGAACAAGCTTGGCAAAGCACAGGGACCGCGGTTCAATCCCCCAGCACCACATGCCAGCCAGCCCCGCCCCCTGGTGGGCTGAGCTGGCCACACACACACACATAAATAAATAAAAAAAAAATTAAAAAAAAATCACTATCAATAATTCCCAAATGCGAGCCCAGGGAGATGGTTCAGTGGAATAAGCACTTCCCTGGCTAGCACAAGGATCTGAGTTCAATCTCCGGTTCCCCCCACCCAAAAAAAATAAAATAAATAATTCCCAAACGCACACTACACCTTGGTTCATAATACTACTCCCTCCTACAACCAGACCTATAGCATCTTTTAGCATAGGGCCGAAAATCCCAGAATGAGTTTTTCAAGCCATACAAGCCGGGAGCAAAAGCTAATTTTCCATGGCCATCAAAGCTACGCTGTGCTTCCAGGGCGTCTCGCTTACTCTTCTCTTGTTGCTGGGACAAGTACCCGACACTCAGAATGAAGGAAGGAGGGGGCCTGGCCCTAGCTCAGGCCTTTAAGTGGCCGCTTCCACAAAGCTGTCAGCCTCAGGTTGCTGGAGTTCGAACCTCACAACTCTCCCGCTGGCCAAAAGTGCCCTGAAGGCATTCGAGGAACAAAAAAAAAAAAAAAAAAAAAAAAAAAATCCTTATTGGGGCCAGAGGGATGGCTCAGTGGAATAAACACTTCCCTGGCAAGCGCAAGGGCCTGAGTTCAATCTCTGGTTTCCGCAAAAAAAAAAAAAAAAAAAAAAAAAAACAGAATGAAGGAAGGAAAGGTTCATTTAGCTCACAGTTACTGGAGGTTTCATCACAAACTCGGCTGGCTCCAAGGCAGAGAGGCACCTGGCAGAGGGCAGCACTCGTGGTGGTGGAAGGCAGCAAAACCGCAAGAGCAAAGGGCAGGAGCAGTGGCGACAGTGGCAGCAGACAACAAGTCTTTCTCCCTTACATTGCCTGGCCAGCGCGAGCGCCTGAGTTCAATCCCTGGTTCCACCAAAAAAAGAGAAAGCGATAGTGGGAACAGCCTTACCTCGGCTCGCAGCTCACATGCCACATTCCTACTTTCCTTTTGTCCTACATCCTCCAAATCTTGAGGTTCTGAGGAGACGGTTTGCGACGCCGTAAATGTCCTTTTAGGACCTGGTTTCTCAGATTCATCCTTGCTATAGAGCATCAAGAGATTTGGAGAACCGACACTCCATATGCCGGGGAGCACCTCCATGTACCGGGTCTTGAGGGGGTGCAACCTTATCATAATTATGCACCACGGAGGCCCCCTGCTCTGTTTTTGTCCTTTTTTCTATGCTAGCATCCGCATTTGAGGGTAAGGAAGGCAGAGGTCTTAAAACGGTCTCATCTGCAGATTCATATTTGTGCAGAAGCTGCTCTTGAGGTTTAGCAACAGCGACATCCAAAGCTGACCTTTTAAAGTAGTTCTTCGACTCTTCCGAGTCTGATTGCAGTAGTTCTGAAGCTAAGGAAGTTAAATTGCAAGAGACCACGCGTGATGAGAGATTGCTTCCCTTTGCTGGTGGGCACAAGGAAGTCTCTCAACTTGCTTCCAAACTTTTAAATTTAAAGCAGCCTTTCCTGAGGGCCTGAACCAGTAACAATGTCACCAGGCCGCAGCAAACAACTCAAAATGTTTTAGTTTCATTTTTACTCCTGCTCCCTTGAGCACTGTCACAACCAAGCAGACACATGCATCTCCTAATGAAGGGGAGTTCCCTGTTACCCTGAGCTTCTGCCCTCCATCTCCCCTACTCTGGGTGTACTGTACCCCAACAGTCCGGCCTGCCTTATCTTATACTTAGTCATCTCCTGTCCACCCCACAGCTGGGCGCTGGCTGTTGTTGTGCAATCGGACCCTCGAGGGGAACAGCAGCGAGGCTAGGCGCAATGGGCTCCAGGGGTCCCAGAGTCTCGTTGGACTGAACTGAGCAGGCACAGCATATTTATTGAGAGGCTTAGAAAATACAAATCATTAGGGGCCGGGGAGATGGTTCAGATGGTTCAGTAGAATAAGCGCTTCCCTGGCAAGCGCAAGGGTCTGATTCAATCCCCGGTTCTGCCAAAAAAATAAAAAAAATAAAAATAAAACCAAATCATTGACAAAGGGCAACGTACACTGAGTCCTCTAAATCAGGAGCTTCTGATCGGTCACACACTGCAAATGTCTTTAGACTCTCAGGTACACAAGATCTCCCCCGCTGGTGTCTAAGGACAGTTCTGAGAAAACAAACAGGATTCTTCTGTCCCCGGCTGGCCGCTTGCTGCCAGGCCTTGGGCATCAGCTTGCCGACTGCGCAAGGTAAAATAGCCTCTTCTTTGTTTTCCTGAATTTCTTCCTCCGTTATCTGATGTGATTTACATAGCAGTTCTCAATTAAGTAAGCAACTGCTGGGCCAGGCCTGGTGGCATACACCTGTAATCCCAGCTCTCAGGGGAGCTGAGGCAGGAAAATTGCTGTGAGCTCCGAACCCTCCCGGGGCCAAGCGCAGGGACTGCAGTTCACACAACACGCCCCGCCGGCCCCTGCTCTGGGCGTGGTGGCCCCACCTGTAATCCCAGGGCCAGTGAGGCTGAATACAGGAGGATCACTAAGAGTTTGACTTGCTTATGAGACCCTGTACCAAATACATACAAAAAAAAAAAGACCAGCCTGGGCTACAAGGTGAGCTCAAGGTCAGCCTGAACTGTCTCAAAAAAACAAAAAAGAAAAGAAAAGAAGAAAGAAAAAAAGAAAGAGGAAGGGGGGGGGCAAAACGTCTAGCCAGTGGCATGTTTTTTAGCTTGACATGGTGAGGTCACCTCGACCTTGATGCCAGATGTCACTGTGTGCCCTACAGACAGAAAGGTGTGGCTCCTTAGAGTCCCAGCCTCACCCCTTCAGTGTCTCCTCTTGGAGTTGCGTCTCCCTTTATTACCAGTTTTTGTCCAAATCCATTGAGAAATGAGACAGTTTTGCTTTTCTTTTTCTTTTTGAGACAAGGTCTCGCCCTGCAGCCCAGGCCTCAACCTCATGACCTTCCTGCCTCAGCCTCCCCAGTGCTGGAGTCACAGGTCTGTGCCACCACTCACAGCTGAAATGTGCTTTTTTTTTTTGGCAGAACCAGGGATTGAACTCAGACCCTTGTGCTTGCCAGGGAAGCGCTTATTCTACTGAGCCATCTCCCCATCCCAAAACTTTGCTTTTGCATTGTGCAAATTGTCAGGAATTCCTCTCCCTGCTAGGTCTGAAATCTGCGGTGTGCTAAGGCAGCAGCTCCTCCAGTGTGGCCCTGGGATACTGTGAGCTGGGTGGCAGGGCTGGGGCTCCCAGCCGAGGGCCCGGGTTAGCCACGTCCACCTCCCTGAGTCCCTGGCACCTAAGAGACTCAGTGACAGACACAGTGGGCTGAGCTGTAGTTACACCCACTCTATCCATCCTGGGTGTAGGTGGCCAGGTCAGGCCAAAGGCATTTGTCGCACACCTGTGACCTCAGGGAGGCTGAGGCAGGAGGATCCCAAGTCTGACAATACTGCGAGTTCTAGGCTGGCCTGAGCTACATAAGGAGAGTCTGTCTCAAAAAACACAAATGAATCAAAACCTGGTCCTCTCCAGGGAGAGGAAGATGGGATGAACCCTGGGAAGGAGCAGGCCCTCCAGGCAGAGGGCCCAGCTGCGAGCCTGTCCTCCTATGTCCCTACCCCATAACCTGACTTCTCCAAAGGGAACCACGACCCTCGTGCTGGGGCTGGGGACACAAGGGTGCGGAAGGAGCCTGGTGCGGTGGCACACGCATCACCCTGGCACTTTGGGAGGCTGCGGCAGGAGGACTGCACGTTCGGGCTTCTTTGCCTGGACAATTCATTAGCCACTTGATGAGACCGTGACTGCAAATACACATAGTATACATAGGCCGGGGCTGCAGCTCGCGGGAAGGCCCTGAGCTCAATCTCCTCCGGTTCCACATAAATAAATAATAACAGGCATAAGCGACGTGGGGGTGGGAGGTAGGGGGCGGGGACAGATGTGTCCCCTCGGACACAGGACGCCAGAGAGGAACACGAAGGCACAGAGGGATAATTATTCCTACAGATGTACCAAGACAGCATCCGGAGGAGAGGCCGTGGCCCAAGACAGCGAGGAGGAAGGCGGCTTAGTGGCCTCTCCCAGAACAGCTTTTACCGTCGTCTTCAATTATTAACAATTTATTTATTTAAAATTTAAAAAAAAAATTTTTTTTGAGACAGGGTCTCACTGAGTAGCCCAGGCTGGTCTCTGACTTGTGGCGATCGTCCTATCTCAGCCTCCCCAGTGCTTCTGTTTGGTGAGGATTTTAGGAGAATGAAAGGAGAAAAGGGAGGAAAAGAAGGCATCTGGGGGGAGGGGGCGGGAAGGGAGGAGATCCCAAGAGGGGCTCGGTCTTCCTGGGTTAAGACGCCAGAAGCTGCCAGGCGGGTCAACCCAGCACCGTGGGAGGCTGAGGCAGGAGGATCGCAAATTTGAGCCAGCCGTCTGGGTTCTGCAGCGACTGACATAGAAAGAGGTGAGGCTGTGGCTCAGGGCGCAGGCCCCAGCTCCGTCCCCAGCCCTGGCACCAGCTGCAGGGGCCGCGGATCGCGGAGCCGGCGCGGCGGGCGGGGCGCGCTGACCCCGCCCCGGGCCTGGGCGGGCGGCTGTTGGAGCGGCGGAGCTGAGCGGTGCTGGAGCGGGGAGGTCGCCGTCCCGCCCGAGGGTGCCGGACCACCTGCTCCGAGGCAACAGCTGCGACCCGATCCGCGCCCCGAGCCCCCAGTCCAGGTCAGATCTGCCGATCCCGGCGCGGGCAGTGACGCCAGGGGCGACACGGGGCCCCGGGCGGCCGAGGAGACTCGGACTCTCTCCCCTGCAGCAGGTGAGAAGCTGAGGTCCGGGTGGGGTCCGGATGCGCGCGTAGGGGCTCCGCTCCGGCATCTACTCCGGGAGTGCAGCCTGCTTCCTGCTGGGCCAGCTGTGCCTCAGTGTCTTTATCTGTCCCCTAGGAGCAGAAGTTCCCACCTTTGACAGATTAGCTGAGTTGGCAGGTTCTCCCAGGCCCGTAATCTCAGCACTTGGGAAGGCTGAGGCAGGCAGATCTCCAGCCTGGACTACATGGTGAGACCCTCTTCCGATCCTTCCTATTCCATCCTCAGCTGCCCAGGGCTTCCTGTTTGTCACTAACCTCTAAGAATGGGGCAACCACCCTCTGGGAGCCACTTAGCAGAGCTTAGACCTCTCATTACATCTGCTACTTCAACAGCGGATCGGAGGCGGGGGCTGCAAAGGGAAGCCTTCCCACTCAAGACCAAAATCCTGGGCGTAGGGGGGAGCGAGGACACCCAGATGCCCACCTGTATCACTGACAACCTGGGGTGGTGAGGAGGGTTCAGCATAGAAGCCAAATGCCAAGGCGCAAATTGTTCATTTCAAACGTGTGTTAGCTAGGTGTGGGGTGCAGGCGGTCTGTGTTCCCAGCACTCGGGTGGAGGATCCCAAACTTAAACTCAGTCCTTGCGGTTTAGTGACATAGTGAGATCCTGCCTCGAAATTAGAAAAGAAAAGAAACGGAGCGTGGTGGCGCACCCCTGGGATCCCAGCCGCTGGGAGGCTGAGGCGGGAGGATAATCACGAGTCTGAAGCCAGCCTGGGCTACACAGCAAGAACTTGTGTCAAAAAAGAAAAGAGAAGAAGGGCGGGGGAGGAGCTCTATGGGAAAACCCAGAAAACTGAAGCTGTCAGATTCGTCATGGAGAGGGCATTGTGGGCGGCCTGTGAGGGTGGTCGACTGCTGCGGGGGTGATGGCGGCTTCTCGCTGGCCAGGAACCACGTGGAGACATCTTGGGGTCCCCTCCAGTGCAGGGCACCCCATCCTTGCAGTGAGCGTAGAGTCTAGGGCGGGCCGTGGTTGGGCACTTCGCCAAGATCACAGGAAAGGGTGCATCACCATCTTAAGGGGGCTGAGACGAGTAGTCTCCCGAGGAGCGTGGGCGGTTACCTATTCTCCTTCTCTCCTTTGGCTTTTTGAGACGGGATCTCACTGTGTACTTGAGGCTGGCCTTGAATTCACTACGCAGCCCTGGCAGGCCCAGATCTTGTGGCCATCCTCCTGCCTCAGCCTCCCCAGGGCCGCACCTGAAGAAGTTTTTTGTGAAGCCCTAATTCTATCCCGGCAGCATGGAGCCCTAGAGCCCTAACGTGGAGTCACTGCCTAGAACAGAGAGTGAGTGATTGAGCACACAAATGAAATTGAAACAGGAAGGACTTAAAAAGACCAGCTTCCTTTGCCAGCCCCCCTCTCTGGGCCTGGGAAGCCCCGGGCCGTCCGCGGGTGCAGGCAGTAGGGTTCTGAGGGCTCTGCCTGGGGGTGGCGCTACCTGGGTTTCCTGAACCTGCTGGGCCTCTGCCTGCCCTGGGACCCGGACTTCCCCGCTGGGGGTTGGGGCGCCCTATTTCTTTTCCGGGAGAAGTCAGCACTTCTGAGACCCTTGGGGGAGCTGCTTCTGGGAGCCAACTCGGTGGAGACACAAATGGCGTCAGCGCAGCAGGCCGAGTTAGAAAGAAAGGAGGGCTTTGTTGTTGTGCTTTTACTGGGGATCCAAACCAGGGACCCTGTAGCCCTGAACTACACCTGAGCCCCCCCCCACTTATTTCTCTAAATTGTCCAGTCAGAACCAGAAATTGTGAAGGGCTGGTGAGATATCTCAGCGGATTAAGTGCCTGCTTAGGCAAGCACAGGGATCTGGGTTCAATCCACCGCACACTGAGTCTGGGGTGCACGCCTGTAATCCCAGCATGGGAGAGGCTGAGACAGGAGGATCGCTAGAGTCCAAGTTGCATAGTGAGACCCTGTACCAATTACATAAAAAAGAACTAGAAATTGTGATCCTCCTGCCTCAACCTCCCCCAATGTGTGGTGCTGGGGTGACCCACCAGGCCTAGGTGTGAGGAGCCTAGGCATTGAGGGCCTGGGGCGCCTAAGGGTTTTTGTTTTGTTTTTGTATCTAAAAGAACCCAAATGTTACAATTAGTTCCATTTGTCGAATCTACTTATAGCCCAGCAGGAAAGGTTCTCCTGGAGCAAATGAACTCCCTTCCGTGCCCCTGAGCTCCCTCCCTAATCCCTGGGGCTCTGCAGAGCCAATGCCACTGTCACAGCCTTCCTGGTCCCATGCTGCCTTCCCTGGCTCACTCAGGTGTGCATCCCTCAGCTTCCCAAGCTGAGAAAACTGGATCGGTGTGCGCTGCGCACACCAGGGCCAGCGTGTGGCTGGTGCCTGTGGCTGGGAGAGGCTGTGCTCACCTGCTTGATGTGGCCAAGAGCGTTCCTGGGTCTAGGTGGCTGTGGCGCTGTTGTGTGCGCGTGTGTGCGTGCGTGTGCGTGTGCGTGCGTGTCTCAAAGCGCAGGCTTTTACATTTTTATTTGGCTGTTTTTCTACGCTGATGGGAAGGAGCTGGCCTGGGCCCCAGAGGATGGGGAGGTGCAGAGACAGAGGTCCCAGGGGACCTGGGGTGGGGACAACACCCTGCTGCCTAGGGACCTAAGGATGGAGGCAGAGTGCTGGCTGGGAGGTCTCAGGCTCCCCGTGCCACCGGGCAGGGCTTTTTGCCCAGCTGTCTCCTGAGTCCTCTTCTCTGGCTCGTGGTGGTGGCTGACAGGCTCTGGCCCCAGTAGGAATTGCTGAAATCGTCATGGTGGTCATCTGATATGGCTGAAGCCCTTGAAACAAAAGCTCGTCTTCCCAGGACCACCCCCCACTTCTCCAGCTCAGCCCAGGGTACAGTTTCCTTTCACCCTTCTCACCACTTCAGGGAAGCCCCCCAGTTCGCTCCTCAGGTGTATCTAAACATCCCCCTCAAGGCCCCCCCCCCCCGCAAAAGGCCATACAAGCCTCAGCCTCCCTTTGTTCCAATCCAGAGAATTCCTCACCTTCCCCAAATTCTCTCCATGTCCTCAAAGAAAATAAAGCCCCTTTCCCTTCTTACTTCTGCCTGTTTCTCTGCTATGCCTGGTGCCTGAAAAAAAAACAAAAACAAAAACAAAAAACTATCAGTGAGTGGCAGGGCTGGCCAGATAGCTCAGCAGACTAAAGCGCCTGCCTGGCAGCGCCACAGCCAGGGTTCTATTCCCGGCACACCATGCTGGCCCTGCCCCCAGGATGGATGGTGATTGAGACTGGACGTGGTGGCCACGCTATAATCCCAGCATTTGGGAAGCTGAAAACAGGAGAATCACTAGGAGTCCAATCTACGTAGTGAGACCCTGTGAGATGGCTCAGTGGTCTAAAGCACCTACTTAGAACAAGCTTAGCAAAGCACAGGGACTGCGGTTCAATCCC